AGTTTATCCACTAGATTGATGCTTTATACGAAATAGACACTGTTTCTTTGCACTAAGTCTTGTATTTTCATAATTACTGCCCTGTCTTGTACGCAAAATAATCACGTTTTTCCTGCAAATATCGTAGTACTGCTAAAATAAGACAAAACTAACTTATGAGAGACTTTTCAGCGAGATATAGGAGCTTACTTTAAGTCAGTCATTCTTGAATATTGATAGAAAATGCCTTATTCCACAGGCAGATTATTTCACTTATAACAAGACATTTTTGCCATGTTATAAGTACTATTGCCTAGGACCTAGTTCACATAACTCCTTGGTAACCTTGGTAAATGTTTGCATGGCAACCATTAAAGCTGAGAGCCGTTTCCTCCATGTCATGCAGTCAAGCTGATCAGCTGCTGCTGCTGCAGTCTTGCAGCTCCCATGCTCTCCTCTGCACTCTGTGACTCCAGGTGAAAATGCCCCCACCAGCACATCCCTCCCAACGCCCAAACCGCGCTCGGTAATGACATCCCTTGTAATGAATAAGCCATGAGGAAGGGCCCTTTTACACATCCTATTAGATTACCTGGCTGTTCTTTACCTGGCTAATCTCACTTCAACACCTCTGGTTCTTTTTGACTTAATGTTACCTATTGTTAGCGCACCAGAGGCTGCCATGTGTTGGAATAAGTGATACGGATCATAGATCATAGGGAGCAGAGTCCTCTATGTGCACTTATACAGTCATATTCAATCTTGGAGCAGGTATTAAAAACAATTTTTACTGAGCCCACATTTTTGTATTAAATGTTTTTTTTTTATTTTATTGTTCTGAAACAATCGGGATTAACTTTTGCGTTATTTGGTAAATTTGTAGACTTTAATGCAAAGTTGGCACTTTTAGTGGACTTTTATTGCAACTTTTAGAGCAATTTTGCATTAAAAATGTCATTATTTACCAAATGACACTTTACATCAGTCATAGACATTCATGAAGACGCCTTCATGAACATGACAGTTGTTATGTCATGTTTATGAGATTGTCATGTCAGTTTTATGCACATCCCTTCAAATAAAGTGTTACCTTGGAACCTTTTAGTGTGTGAACAATATTGTATAAAAAGGCCTAAGTGGTTAAAGGAATCCAATTAATGATCAGAATAATTGATATAATAATCGATTACTAAAATAATCAATAGTTGCAACCCTAGTGTCATGTTCTAGTATTACGCTGTGTCCTTATTATTATACATCATCATGTTTACAGAAATAATGGCTTGAAAACATCAGTCTGGGTTTAATTAGTCTAACCATTGCATAGTTTCCCCTAGTGTTTTATAAGCCTGGCCGGCCTCCAGGCTTTACTTGTGCCCCCACCAGACTTAGCATTGCTTATTTATTATTATTATTATTATTATTATTATTATTATTATTTTAATGTTTGCATTTTTTAAGACTTTATAGTTGGTGTTCAGATATTATTCTTCAAATCTTCCAATAACACGTGATTATCAAGTGATATTTGTCAAATTGTCTGTCAACTTTAAACATTTTGTAACTCACAAACACGACAGGCCGCTGGATGAATGACTGCTGAGCGCCACAACCGCCGGGCTTGGCAAGTTTTCTGTGGGAAACCTTTTATTGGGTTTCACTTAGTGAGTTGAGGTACTGAAATGAATGAACTTTTCTATGATATAAAAAATGTTTGAGCACGGCTGTGTTTGATCCTCTTTCACATGGTCTGAGCTTATAGACCTAACTCAGTGATGAGGAAGGCTCAAGCAGGGAGCAGCATAAAGGCACCTGGTGTCGTGGCATGAACCGTGACAGGATCCATTTGAGGAAGTAAAGGTTATCTGTCATGTGCGGACCTTCTTGACACATACAGATAATGGAGTTAAGCCCAACCATTAGCTGGCGAGTTAGTGTACGTTCTTTTTTCCTCTCTCTCAGTGTTTCTCTCCTTTTTTTGTGATTCACAGCTCATTGCTCAGCTCTATTGATCTGTCCGGAAAAGATAATAGACACATTGATCCATGAGCTCAGCAGCTTGCTTGGTTTACACATCAGTTCGGACTAATTCTCAATAGTCCTCAGTCAAGATGAAAATTGCTTTGACTGACAATTGACTTCTTGGTCTTGAAACCCGGGCGTTTAAAAGTTGTTTTGGGAAGATACTCAGTTTTTTCCTGACATTTTTGTCAAAGTAAAGAAATAATTGTTCTGCGAATTTTTTTGTAATCTTGTCAATGAAAAAAAAAAAAGATTAGTAAAAACAAAGTCCCACAAAAGGTTACAATATTAGACGGCACAACCATTTAGAAATATTTTAAAAATATAAATACAGAATTTAAATACTTCAAAGCAATTTCCGAACAGTCACCAAAAGCATTAAAAGGTAAGACGATGTGAGATTAGCTCATTTCATCCAGCAATGAAATAAGCCCAGAGATTTTAATAAAGCTTTTTTATTTGCTAGAAAGCTGTACAAATCCTACTTAATATGAAAATCAGATCAGAGCTTGATTCCCGATGGTGAGAGCCATGACACATCTTTCTACGTTTACTGTCTTAAAAACCACAAAATCTTATAAATAAAACGCCGAGAGGGCATTACAATATTCATTAATGTGAATACATTGTAAGTTAAAGAAGGAAAGAGCAAATTGTAAAAAAAAAATACAGAATTTCAGTAACTAATTAGGCATGTGGGTTGTTTCTAAGCATGTTTTGATGCCAGCTTTGAACAGTCGGATGTATTATCTATGCACAGTTTTAAACAAGCGCATTAAAGTGTTTTTATGTTCTGTGAAGGCCTCAGATCTTTGATAGAGAACATTAACAAAACAACATCACAAAGGCCGAGGCACAAAGCAGGGTTATGCTTTGGACATGTCAGCGTAGGAAAAAAAAACTAGAGAGAAGGTGGCACATTAAGTTCAGAACGGTTGTGACGTGGCTCTCCGAATGTTTTATTTTGAAAACATTGTACTGTACCACAATGTCCATAGGATTGTTAGACATTTTGAACACTTTGCTTTTTCAGTTGTGAGCCATATATGAATGCGGCGCACTTTCCCAAAGCGCTTGTCCCTCAGTGCAAGAAATTTAACTTTACTAAATGAAAACACATTAAAAAAAAACAACAACAAAAACATGTGCGTTAAGTGGCTTTATCGAACACAAAGTGGAGAGTTTAGTTAAGGAAGACTAAAATATTTCTTCCTCAGTTGTGTCTGTATAATAAGACAAAATGTAGCCTTGTGACATCCACGTGACAGTAGGGATTTATTTCCCAAAATAGACCTGACAGTAGATGGTCTTTTTTGGACCTGGGGCAAAGTGCATATTAAAAACCTGAACAGTTCATTTGGGTCATATTGACAACTAAAACTGTGCGTTAAATGGGAGGTTCTTAATCGGCTGCTTTGCATTTTCACAGGCTCGGCCTGCAACGCATTGAGTTTGGTCATCTGGGAACTTTTCTGTTCTGATTTTATGAAGATCTAAGAGTTTAGGGTCGGGGCGGTGGATGTTGGTGTGGAGGTTTCCACCGCTGCCTCACAGCAGCCTCCTACGTTCATATAATATCCTGTGTTTGCATGGGATTTCTGTGATGTAATGGGATTTCTCCAGAGTCCTCCTCCCATCCAAATACCTGGATTTTAGTTAGTTGACACCGTTTGACTTAGTGTGTTGTTGCTGACTGGCAGCGTGCCCCCCCCCGCCCTTACACTGCTATCCTTGGCTAACTTAAGAATACATGAGATAAATGAGGGTTGTTTTCTGGTTCTTGCGTGATGAATTATAAATTGCCTTTGTGGAAGCAGCGTGAATTTTCTCTCCTAAGTGTTCTTGAGCCGTAGCTGCGGTTTCCTCCACACAATGGAGCCCAGTTATGCTGCAGTGTTGCTCGAGGATCTGGAGATTACATCTGTTCAATATTGATTTCAGCTTGGTTTCTTCAGTGCAGGAATGCATTCAGATTCTCTGAATCCTTTACAGATATTAACTTCTTCACGTCGTAAAATCTCCACATTCCGTTTCATTTTAACGCGATGCGTGTACTTAAATTGTTCATCTATTTCACGACACCTCAGAGTGGGGAACTCGTCCCAAAGGTTTTCTAGATGCTGTTTTCACAGTTGCACCTAAATATCTTCAACCCTCATTACTGCAGATTAGGCTTATTGCTAAAAGGTTTATTTGCTCAGATAACCACAATGAACCATTTGAACAGGATACGTTTAAATAGGTAAATATAACAGGTACTTCATGAGTTTTATACAAGTTAAACACTAAATCCTTCTTTCAGTGACTTCTACAGTCTCAACAACTGTATTTTGACAATAAGCCTAATTTTAATATAACTGTGTAACTGTGACTATTTCCTAATTTGCCATCTAAAACTCTGTCACATTTTTAACACAATGCGTCCAGAAAGTATTTGTAGCACTTCACCTTTTCCACATTTTGTTATGTTGCAGAATTATTCCAAACTTTGTTAAATTGATGTATTTCCTCAAATTTCTACACATAAATACCCCATTTTTTGTGTGTAGAAATTTCAGGAAAGATATTAATTTCACACATGTAGGATTAACATAAGAAAATGTGGGGATAAAACTTTCATAAATGTGCTAATTGTTCGCCTACACTTTTATCTATGTGACTGTGTGAGTTCAGATAATTCTCGTGTTATTTTGTCGTTTGTTTTCTTACGCATTTAGCACAATTTACCTCTAGTTGGACTGGATGACGTGATTCTGACTTTGCAGATGAAGATCTCTATTTCTCTGGACCGATACTTCTTTGCTGACCCCATTTTTATTAAAAAGAAAAAAAAAATGAACAGATTGCTCACAGATTGTGAAGTGGAGCCGTAACAACAAACCAAAGCAGCTCTCTTTTGCTGCCAGAGGAAAGACTGCACACACACAGACACACTCAGGTTTTCACCTGCATGGAGAATCCCAGATATTTTTTTTTATTTCTCGTTTTGATTTCTTCAGAGTGACATTAAGCGTCCTGCTGTGGAGACACAAACGATACGAAGTGTGGCGTAACTTTGGGGTCTCCTTCGGCGTGAGATGGATGGCGGTGAAGGAGCGGTGATGGAGAACGTCTGACAGCTGGCAGCTCTGTTGTAGTGAGAGAGCAGATGCTCTGTCAGCCGGCCCGCTTCTACAGCAGCGCCGAACACACGCATCAGTCATAACGCATCTCTGTGGATGTGGATCGAGCCATCACAGAACTTCAGTTACATTTTTCAAGCACCCCTTCAGTCATTTTTTTAAGACTAAAACTATAATGCAGCCATAAAAGTTTTATGTTGTCTGTATTTACCCCCGCCAACTCTTTGCATACTTGAGATTAACTCGTATGCATGTTTCTGCTTCAGTCCACCAGCGCATAATTAAAAGAAACAAAGTAACTTTTACCAGAAAACCTGGGAGCCAGCTCTTTATTCTGTTATTTGTGCACTGCAAAGCTGCCGAGCTGCTTATTTTAATCCTTTTTTTTTTTTACTGCTGCATTGTGTCCAGGTTGCTTCTTGGAGGAGTGCCGCATATCCTCGACAGCAGCTCGTGTCATTTGCAGAAGTGCGCTGTCTCCTGGCCTACATTCACCGCTGCCGTCATGCTACAGCCAGAAACGAGTCGAGCACGCAGGGGCAAAGACAGATAATGCACCGTCTCCTCCAGAGGTGCTTTTTCAACACCCGTGTCTTCCTGTGAAGGTATTCAGCTGCTGCAGTGTCTCTACAGGGGGAGTCCTGACTCATGCACTGCTTCCGATTAAAAAAACAAAACAAAAAAGCGCTCAGCCTCTGAAAGGGCTGAAAGCAGCTGTACACCGGGAGAGCTGATTTACAAAGAGACAGAGTAAAAAAGATTAAAACTTTGCTTTTTTGGAGCCTTTCATCAAATATGATACTCTATTTGATAACTGTGTACAGTGCTAAAAGACAGAGCTCCTCTTACAGATTTCTGTTTTTGATTTATAGTCAGATTAATTAATTTTAAAACCAGTCAGGAATATTTTGAGCATTTACAAAATGCGTTTTTCAAACACCACCACACAAAGGTGAACACAAAAGCGTGTATTCTGTTATATCTGCGGTAAAACTAACATGCATTTTATTTAAAAAAAAAAGAACAAAAAAGAAAAGAAAGCTCTGCAAACATGTTGCTGATCCAGGATCTGGAAGATTTGCTCTCTACCAGAAAATCCTGAGGGAAAATGTCCAGCCACCAGTTTGTGATGTTGAGCTCAGGCACACTGGGGTTGTGCAGCATAACAATCATTCGAAGCTGTCCAGCAAGACCTCTGAATATAAAAAAAATAAAGGTATTGGAGCGGCCTGGTCGAAGTCTGTCTGAACTGGCTGCTCAGACTCAGAAACCCTCCTGTGTGGCTGAATTAGAGCAGTTCTGCAAAGAAATGTTTGCCAAAATTTCTAAAAACTAATGAAGAAAACTCACGACTCCTTACTGCCAAAGTTTGACGGCATTTGCCAAGAGTCGGGGAGGAAACTCCTTTCTCACATGAGGTCATTTGGACAGCTTTTTTTTTCTCTCTCTCTAAATAAATTAAATTATTATTTGGAAACTGCCTTTTGTTTTCACTTTGCTTATTTCTGTTTCACATTAAAATTGTTTAATGATCTGAAACATTTAAAGGGACAAACTGTTTGAGTCAAACTAAAAAAGTGTGGTTTTTAATTTGTAAGTCATGGCGCAAATCCAGGTGGCGCAGTTGGTGGCACTGTTGTTGCCTTGTAGCAAAAAAGTTTCGGGTCTTTCTGCGTGGAGTTTGCAGATTCTCCCTGAGCATTCACGGCTTCTCTCCAGGTACTCTGACTTTCTCTCACAGTCCAAAAACATGATCAGGTTTATTGGTTCCTCTAACTTGTCCTATTCTGTGTGCATGTTCTCTGGATGGCTAATGCAACACCTAAAAAAGGATGGTGTGTGTGTATATATATATATATATATATATATATATATATATATATATACTGTGTGGCCCACGATGTGTTTTAAAAATTCAGTAGAATAAAGGGAGGAAATCAGTATTTTTTTTTTCTCATATTAAGTCTGTTTTTTTTACTTTATTATTTTTCCCCTAAGAAAAATATGTAATTTTACAAGACTATATGTCAAGTGAAATAATAATGCATTGAGAACATTATATTATTTAGCCAAGCATTAAAAATAAAAAATAAAAAAAACAGGCTCTTCATAACTAAATTAGTCAAGACAATGCAGCAATTGAAACAGCGAATACATAATACCCAACAGAGAGGCACCAGGAAATTGGCTGGTCAACGGAAATGACTGATTTTCAGCTTAGTGTTTAATTTTTTTAAAATTTTTTGCTTAGTGACGGCCAGCGGGTCAGAACCTCCTTTTTTTTTTTTTCCAAATCGGTGAATGCGCCACATCTAAGTGCTACAAGGTCACGCGAACACCACCCTTTTGCGTGGATGTGGTTAGCTACGCACATCAAAACTGGGTTTGGAAAACATTTAATAAGCTTTCTAAAAAGCCTCCACAAAAGCCCTGACCTCAGCACCAGCCGGAGCTGTAAGCCTTTTAAGGGCTGCAAAAAGCATCTGGTTTCTTTCAAACTTGTGAGGACAAAACCAAATATTAGCAGGAGTCAAAGTATATATGTCTGAGATTGTGTGGATAATTTGTGTGGGGGAGCAGGAACTTGTGCACCAAGCTGCTTCAAACACGTGCTGAATGTGTATTATCAAGTCTACCCGGGACCGAGAAAGAATGACTCAAAAGAAATTCTGGAAATTTCCAAAGTAACATTTCCCCGTGATGCGTGTGTTTAACCCTGCAGGCTTGAGGATGACCAGTGGACTGGTCGACATCGACCAGCAGAAGCGGTTCATTTTACCGCTGCGCCGTAATTCAAAGCGTTAGCCTGGATTCGAATTAAAAGCCTTACCTTGTCACTGTAAAGGCTGTTAAATGTGAGACAATTCTGATCTGTTAGCATGTGTGTGTGTATGGAAAGACCGCTCTGCCCATGGCCCAGTGAGGCGCCTCGTCCACCTGGGAGCCATCCCGGTTGGATGAGGTGTGCTTGTTCCACTGCTGATTGCCTCGCCGTGTTACAGCAGCAATGCACCATTCAAGTATGCGGGCAACTTGACAAATGAGCAGCGATCTGAGCAGTGGGGGGATGCTTGTACTGCACCACATCCTGTCCCGTCCACATCCCCCTGCCCTGCAGTGGTTCACCTCCCTTAACAGATGCGTTTTTTACTCCGAACCGGCAAAAACACCAATAAAAGTCACATAGGAGGAATACGTGTTCGCTGCACGCCTTCTGACACATGTGGAGAGTGGGAAGGAAGCTGCAGAGTAATTTCATTTGTATTTATTTATTTTTGTAAAATATTACTTGTTTTTGCACGTTTCAGATTGATTGTATTGTGGAGTTAATAATGTTAAATATTCAAATTATAGTCATGTTTAGGTATTTAAAATTATGTTAAGAGAAATAATTTTTAAAAAAGTCTTTCTGGCTTTCAATAGTATGGACACCCCTGTAAAAAAAAAACACACTTTAAAATAATTTGCTTTTTCATCTTTAATATGATATTTATTATGTACAATATAAATGATAAAACAACAAAAAAACTGTTTGTAGGAATGATATATTAAAAAAACAAACAAACAAAAAACACATTTTTAATTAATTTCAGCATTCAGTGCCTGCCATCAACTATGGTGAATATGATCAACCTGTCCCAGTAGGATTTTCCTCATATTTGTTCTCGTCTATCCTTTAGCCAGAGCTTTAGTATGCAGCTCAAAATGATCACTTTGTACAAAGGTACAGTTGAAACCAGATGTACTCTATAAAGTAACACACCTTTTTCCCCTTTAGTCAGGCAGATTTTTATCTGCAAAATGAGAAAAAGTATTTTTGACTTCCTGATATCTTGTGAGGCTGATTCAAAATGTCATCCTATTCTTTCCACTTTTTGCTACTTGCTTTGAGATGTAGTCCTTCCTGCAGCAAAACAGCCCCACAACATAACACTGCCACCACCGTAATTCACAGTAATGGCGGTTTCTTTGGCTTGCACGCTTCTGCCTTTTTTCCACCAAATGTAAGTTCATCTGTAAGTTGTGCCTTTTTAGTGCAAGTTTCGACTGACTGCAAAGCTGCTTTGTGCAGAATTTCTGTCTCTTTGAAGGGGACAAAAGTTTTAAAATGATGATTTGTCTCAATTTCAAAGTCTAAAAACCTGCTATTTTAACAGTAGTGTTTACACTTTTAGTGAGCCTCTATGTTTTCATCTAGTTGAGCTGGAACATGGGAAATATTCCAAATAATACATATTATTTGTATTACTGGTTTATAAAAATGTATTAAGTTTTTACATGTTCAGTATTGTAGCAGCTGTTCTAAATCTGAAATTAAGTGTGTTGAAGTTAAGTGTATCAAGTTTCTCAAACAGTTGTAATCGTTCACCTTTTTTTCTCTACATGCTGCTGACTAGAACAATATAAATAAGATGCAGTATAAAATAACCATACTAAATGTTCTTTTTTTAAAAATCCTTCCAGACACAACAGAAATGAAAGATTTTCTCATTCCTGCCCACCGTGCTAAGAAAAGACAACGATTATTGTTATCGCTGTGTAAGGATTTCTCCTTTGACCTGAACTCTGGAGGTCTTATATTGCAAGCGATACTTTGAAACACAAGATGTCTTCTCACCTATAAGCATCAATCTATTTGAGTTCTCCAACAGAGTCGAAGGGTTGCGGAAAACCAAGGTAAGGCACTGGAAGATATTCACAAAAAGGAGCATCGGTTGGCGACTTTTGCATCAGCTGTCAAGCTGAAAGTCGGAACCACGAAGCGCTTAGCAGCTGAACTAGTTCATCAGCTCCACCGCCACGTTGGCTGCAACTGCATCCACCCACCGGCCTTCTTCAGAAACTGCAGTTGGGAGCAAGCGAGCGGCAGTGTCTGACGCAGCATGCGATCATTCACCTTGACTGCGTGCCGCCGCTCGAACTTGCCTCCGTTGCAGCTGTCAATGCATACCTCCACTCGCCCCCCCGCCCCCTACCACCACCTCCACCTCCACCCCAGGCCTCCATCCTCTCTGGAGGCAGCACACTCTGCCAGCCGTGGAGTGGGATGTACTATCGATCCTGCTGAAGTGATGGTTTCTAAAAGGGAGCCAGTAAGCATGTCTGCTTGCCCCTCCTCCACCGTGGAGCGGCCCTGAGATATCACCCAGCTCAGCACATTGCACCATCTCCGCATGGGAAAATGGGATTTTTACCGGGAGATGAGCTGAGTGGAAGGTAATTCAAGTCGTCGAGCTATGTTCCTCATGGAGGATGTAAAATGAGCCAAGTTACCTTCAGAAGCCTCACACGTTGGACAAATAAGGTCACATTTAAAGGTCTCTCCTACTCCGGTCCACGTCAAGGAGAATTCACACGATGCGTGAAAAACTAAGCACGAGGATTGAGTGATTAGTCTGTGACTGGAGAAACTCATCAGTGAGGTTTTCAGTTTTTGACCAGGATGAGTGTGTGTGTGCGCCAACTCTATGTTGGGAGGAATAAATATCCTGAATGTGTTCAGACTCTGGTGGCCTTCAGACAGAAGGAGGCGTACGCCTCAGAGCAGCCGCTAGATGGCAACAGAGTACTCAGTTTTCACAAAACTCACCTCAATTCTGCTGCATTTACTTTGACTCACAAATGCCTCCGGATTTGAAACCTAGCAGTCATTTACAAATCTGTTCCTGTTGTAGCTGATGATTATAATCATCCTTGAAAGATTGGAAATGACTGGACTGGCTGTCCAGATCATGAAGATTATGTGAAGAGTGGATCATTCTGTGCACTGATAGGTAATTTCACAAGCTGTGGGAGATTGAGTGATTAGGATTTTGCTGGGAAAAAAACAAACAAATCTTCTTTTCATGTATGAAACAAAATATTAGGTAACCATTTGCATCACATCTTTTAGTCTTCATTGCATTCTCAATGGGGCAAAAAGTTGCCTATAGGAAGTAGAGAGGTGCTGCAGCATTGAAACGGCATGAAAGGATATTTTCATCTAAAAGGAAAACTGGACTTCAGTTAAGTTTTTATAGAAAATCTCTTGTTTGTTTCTGGAGTTTTAAGTGTGCTGATCTTATTGAAAATGAGGCCATCGCTGAAATCCATCTGTGCTCTGGGAGGAAGGAGCTGAGGAAGTCAACGGGAGGCATGGAGATGACTGCAGGTTTCAGCGCCTCCCGTAGAGCTGTGGGGATAGATGGGGGGCCTCAGGGCTCAGAGGATG